CGCGGTCTCACCGCGGTCCGACGTCGGTTGGTCTTCGGCGTGACGAGGCGGGCGCGCAAAGAGGCCTTGCCGCCATCGCGTTGCCGCGAAGGAAAAAGATGGCTGTCTCTTCCGACCCATCAGTGTACGCCGTCCAGTCGGGTGGTCGCTGCTGCTGTGGGGGCGTGGTGCCGTCCCGTCGACAGGGTCGAAGTATAACTCCTGACGCCTCCACCATCAGCCGCACTTTAACACGGCAAGCACCGCCCCTATCACAAGGCTCGACGCTGAGTAGTGCCATCGTGTTGCTTGTGCAATCATTTGCAGCGATGTCGCGGGCAAGCTGAATCCTCTCCGGAAGCGCGCATTGGCCGTCGTCAGAAAAGAAGCCGGACGCGAGCCATTCCCTTTCCCACTCTGCTACTGGTCCTTCCCCGGGCGAGGGTTGCCATCCGGGTATGCGAAGGCGTATTTCCCTCTCGGTTTGCTGTGCTCTCTTAGCCGTGTAGTAAAATTGGCGGACAAGTGCCGCCCTAGCGTCCTTGAAGATGGAGTCGACTCGGGCGTCCGGCGTCGCGTCGTGTGCAAGGTTCGCGTTGTAGTGCCGCCGCCGCACGATGCCCGCCAGCGTCTCCAGCATCATCACGCGTGTCGGCGTTGCCCCAATGCGTCCCTCTGCCATCTGTCCTCTGCTCGTAGTAAGCCGAAACCCGGTTATGCAGAGTCGGCGGTGTTCGTGTGCGAGTTGTTGCCATTGCGAACGCCGTGTCTCTTCACGCACCGCCTCGTCTAGCGTTGTGATTTCCAGAACCGTGCGGAGGGCGGCCTCATGGACCAAGCCTGTGTAAGGGCATTCGAGGGCTAGGTGCCGAGTGGTCTCGATTACAGTCTCTCCCCGGAGCAGGTAGCATAGGTCGCAGAGATGCCTCGCCGGCGCTGCTTGCGGCACCTGTGCGGTCCGAGCGGCAGAGCGTCCGCAAGGATGGAGTACGCGGTGTCCGACGTTGGCCTTGGTAGGTTGCGGTCGTGGATTGATCCGAAGATCGATCGTGCTATCTGCCCCTCGCTCCCCTCGTGTTCGCTCTCGGTCCCCTTCTCCTCGTTGTCACTCTCGTCGTCTTCTTGTCCATCGCCGTCGTTGTTGCTACGGGGGCCGTCAATTTCCACCGAGTCGACTGCGGCGTTGAAACGATCGAGAAGTGGGCCTGTGACCTCTCCCTCTGTGAGCCACCGGTCATCCCCCGGGCCAGCGTTCTCAAAGCGCACCTTGTATTCAAAGTTCCCTAATATTTGCTGGCTTGGTCGTCGCGCAATAATACGCTCGATGGTCCACTCTATTTTCGTCCTCGTCGATCTCTCCTCCCTCCCGGGCCGTATGCTTGAGTAGGTCATAGAAGCGTGTGGTAGTGTCTTCATTGCTTGCCGGGCGGGATGTATCGAGCGTGCGCATCGGCCGGTATATCCTCGAGAGGCGAAGTGAGGCGAGGTGTTTGACTGCGAGTTTGTGAACCGGGATCGCTGCTCTCGAGCGGGTGGTCTTGCCGTATTGCACCGCATACCTAGCCGGGTTTGCAGTCACTTCCCAGCCGTCCCTGGCTGTGGCGTCGCGTCGGAGGAGATTTGCGCACACGACCGATCCTCCGCACACCAATCGTTTTAGTTTGCGCGGCGCCCCCTTCTCCGCTCGGGCTCGGGCCGAGTCCACCCCCCACTCCTCCTTACGAACACTTGCCGCCGATTGCCCGCCGTCCTCCCATACCTCGACCTCCGACCATCCGCCGTCTCCCCGTCCCCGCACTTCCTCCACATTCGGGGTTCCCTGTTCATCCTGTGTGACCTGTCTGAGTACGCCGCTTTCCATCCACTCGTAGAGTGGCGACTCGCCCTCCACGCGTGTAACCCACCGCTTATTAAGTGTCGGGTCGTCCACCAGCATCCATGCATGTTGAGGTAGAGTGGTGGATCGAATGCATTCTCCCCAGTCAATTGGTTGTTGTCGCCCGTGAACGGCGTCTCGGAGGGTTGCTCGCCACGCTTCGGGCAGGCTATCGAGGAGCGCGTTGTACTCCGGTCGATCGCAGGGCGCTGTCGAGGGTCGGCAGGAGCGTCTGAAGGCCGACCAGTCCATAGGCAGGCCGTCACTGCCGAGTATGTGTGCGATATGCGTCACCCCCACGTTTGCGAAACGCTTGGATCGATCGTACACCTCTCGTGCGTCTCCCTCTCTCTCGTTGCTCCATCGGCACAGCTTAGGTTTGGCCCGTCTCTCCCTATCCTGCCTTTCCCATCCTGGCTCGTCGATCGCCGCCGCTCCCCACCATCCTGCCAAGTGTGGGTTGTAGAAGAGCGGTTCCATTAGTACGCGGCCGATCGACCACTGCCCTCCGACGCGCACCGTTCGCTTTTCCGCGTCTCGCTTCATTGTACGTCACCTCGGGGGTATGCTCCTTCTGCGCGGCTTCGTCCCCATCGTGTGGCACTATTCCCGTGATCGTTCCAAAGGTGGTTAGCGCAATCCTCCAGTAGTCTGGAGTGTCGGTAGGGAGGTGCAAGAAATCACACGGTGAGTGGAGTATACGCCTCCCCATGCGGAGGTGGCCGTAGCCCTCGTGGATGTATGTCATTACGAGATTGACGCCCTTGTGTGTTGATGGCGCGATCAGTCGGCCCACCTGCCTTTGGTATAAGCTGCGGGTGAAGACCTCCACATCCTGGCAGCGTTGCCCGCCCTCTGGATACTCTTGAATGAGTGTCCCCCTCTTGACCGCATGCCGACGCGCTTGTTGTAACCCCTCGGCGTTAGCTGGGGCCTCAAAGAATCTCCATGCGTACTGTTGCCACTGATCCAACATCTGGGGCAGGTTTGGTGGTGTCTGCGCCTGCACCAGGTACCAGGCACATGCTTGTACATGGTTTCGGATGACGATATTCCGACCGCGTCGCGACCGTGGTATCCCTCGTGCCAGCCATCGCTCGTAGCGCTTCCTCATTTTGGCTGTGACCGTCTCTTCCCACTTGCGAGCTACCCCTTCCGGCGTCCCAAGGAAGATTCCGAGGTAGCGGATGAGCGAGTTTGTGGTGTTGATGTCGCGCCCCTCTTCCCAACCCTGCGGGAGGTAGTCAGAGCCACGTAGGGAGCCGACTCTCATGCCGAACGTCTTTTCCCAAGAGTTTAACGCGCCCGATCCATCTTCGTATATCGCCAGCAGGCGTTTGAATTCGTCGAGTTGGTCGGCGTCCCGCAGGAATATTACGAGGTCATCTGCAAAGCCGAGCGCCTTGATGGTTGCGGGTTGCTCTTCGTCCCCCCCCTCACCGGGGATGTTCACTCATCTCGATCGTCAAGGCGTCGCTACGCGCGGTCTTCCGCGGGGGGAGCTGCGTCGACGGGTGCGGGACCATTTTCAAAGCAAAGGGCGTGCGAGACCGCCTAATTGCTCGCGGTTTCTTCTCTCGAGGTCTCTCGATCTTTTGTGTGAGCTCTGTGCCTTGATCTGCTTGATCTGCTAACAACGAACACAACCAGATAAAGAAATCGGGCGCGACTGCCTTCGCGGTGCGTGTGCAGCACGTGCTCCTCTGTACGCGCCGCGCTCTCTTTGCGGCGCGCAGCGCCCCGCTAGAGCGGCTTGGCGGCGAAAAAATGACTTAACGGCTTCGAGGTGTGAAGAGACGGTTCTCACACTTTTCGACTCGGATAGGGCTCGAGGCGCCGATTTGTCAGACCCCGTTCAGAGGGCGTGCTGCGCGTGTGCTGCGCTGCACGCTCGGCGCTGTAGCATGTCGCGGAGCGCCCTTGAGGCGGTGAGAAGGCGCCGGACGGCGTTCACGGCTCGAGGTGTGGAGAGACGATTCTCACACTTTTTGCTATGAACAGGGCCGCCGACTCATGGGAAGGCCTTCGTGGTGCCTGTCCAGCACTTGCTCCTCTGCACGCGCCGCGCTCTCCACGCGGCGCGCAGCGCCGCTAGAGCGGCTTGACTGCGAAAAAATGACTTAACGGCTTCGAGGTGTGGAGAGACGAAATTCACACCTTTCGCTATGAATAGGGCTCGAGGCGCCGACTCATCAGTCGCCGTTTAAGGGGTGTCTGGCTCGTGTGCTGCACTACACGCTCGGCGCTGTTAACGCGGCGAGGAGCGCCTTTGGAGCGGCGAGAAGGCGCCGGATGGCGTTCATGGTGTCGAGTGTAAAGAGACGCCGTTCACACTTTTCGACTCGGATTTAGGGCTCGAGGCACCGACTCATCAGACGCCGTCACGGCGTTTGTCGCGCGTGTGCTGCACTACACGCTCGGCGCCGTTAGCGCGATCAGGGCCCTTATTGGGGCGGCGAGAAGGCGCCGGGCGGCGTCAGCTGTTTCGGCTAAGTCGTTTTGTACCGGATTTCAATGTTAGTGGCAAAACCGCGGAACCCGGAAAATGGCGTTTGATTTCGCGAACCTGCTGTCCGCTGCCTGCGGCGGCGCTCCGCGCCGCTTGGGGCGCCTGCGGCGCCCCTGGGCGCGCTGCGCGCGCCTGTTTTGGGGGGGCTACCAGCACCGAAAAATTGCCGCTTTTGGGGATTCTCCCGCCTTCCTACTCCTCTCTTGGATTTTTTTAGTGTCTGTGGCTCTTACGAACATACCCGAGGGTGAACTGCTGACAGGGTTTGCGATGAGGAGCGATCCGAACGTGGTATTCGGGTGATCAAATCACGCCGAAGCGCAAGAGCTATTTTAACACAAAAACATGGCCGAGACATCTTGTGTTTCCACTTTTACGCAATATTGCGATGTAGCTATTACGTACATTCTTTATGGCCCCTTCACTGACTGCGAACGCGCACATCCAGGGCTAGGGCTCTCTAGCCCGCAACCCGATCCCGACCATCCGCCGATCCGGCCCCGCTCTGGGTGCGCGCGCTTCTTAGCTGTCCCCGGCCCTGTGGGTGTGAGGCTGCCGTGTGCCGACTGCACTCCACAAGTGCTCCCAACTTTGCGTGTTTTCTCACGCTTGTAAGTACGCAAACGACTTCTTTCAGAGAATCAAACCCCGTTTGAGAACTTACTGCGTTGGCGGCACAAGTGGCGGCACGCCATACACCCCTTATACACCGAGACGCCCCCGGCCCCGCGCCCCAGCGCGTACCCCAGGCGTACCCTGCCAGTGCCGCTGACTGCCTCAGGCCCTCACTCTCTACCGTTCTCTCGACCTCGCACCCCGAGGCGGGACTCCTCTCTCTGCGATCTCAAAGCCCTCCACATTGCACGCTACTAGCACCGGGCCTCCTACTCGACAGTTTCGGCCAGTTGTACCTCACCGCTCTCCTCCAACGCCCCCCCCCCCCCCCCCCTTCCCTTTCGGCCGACGCCGCGGCAAGCACAGGCCAACCATAAAGTCGCTCGGCCACACGCGCGGCCGCGACGTCGCCGCGCGCAGCCCTGCGCACAGGTTGAGCTCCCGCCGTGCCGCGCTGTGAGCGGCCGCCGCACGCCCCTTGCCCGGTAGCCAGTCACGACGCGGCGGCAAGCTATCGCCGTGCCGCACCAGTGCCGCCGGCTCAGCTGCCCTCAAACACCGCCCGAGCCTTCGAAGCCTGCGACCCCTCAATCGTCCTTGGCGGCGGGGCCTTGCCGACGGGCGCCTGCGGCGAGGCAAAGAGGTAACGGTCGCGTCCAACGCCAGGAGCCCCTTGAAGTGCAAGCGCCGGGTGCGGCGTGTGTGTGTGTGTGTGTGTGTGTGTGTGTGTGTGTGTGTGTGTGTGTGTGTGTGTGTGTGTGTGTGTGTGTGTGTGTGTGTGTGTGCGTGCGTGCGTGCGTGTGTGTGTGCGTGCGTGTGTTGTGGGGGCGAAGGGGGGGGTAGACCTTGCCGACGAGCTCGCTCTTCGCGACCGATCCCTTGGTCGTGTCGACCCCGCCCTCTTGCCTCAGGTTGGCCATCGCCTAATCAATGAGTTGTCGCTTCATTGCGCGGACTGAGTACTCCCCCCTCTTGTCTCGCGCTGGCCATCAGAGGGGGGGGGGAGAG